AGAGCGTCGCGACGAGTAATTGCCAGTAATTGCGGGATGCGAATTGTGCGTCAAGTATGTACATACGTCACATGTATTTAACTATAATAGCGGCGACAGAAACGTAGCACATATTTTTAAAGGAGAGAAAATATACGAACGCCATGGCACTAAGCGATTTAAATTGCGATCCCGCGTTAAAGATAGGGCCCGGTCGAGAGATACTCTTTGGAAACTACTAGTGTAATTACGAAGCTGATCGATCACCATTTAACGAACGGGGCGGAACGCGCATATGTAACTATTACGATGTCTATGAACCAACGCGTTTTCATGCCGAGAACAAATAAATTTGCAAGTCGGAAGAATGCGTTGTGGATCTTTTTCTTATTCCCTGTGTCAATCGATTTCTATAGTTAACGTATTATAATAAGAACAAAGAAACAAAAGAGTCATTAGATTAAGAAAAGACTGAAAAAGTTTCAACGGAGAAAAGAAGAGAGAGAGAGAGAGAGAGAGAGAGAGAGAGAGAGAGACTAGAACGAGAAAATGGAAAGCATAAGTCGAAGATCCGAAGAAAAAATAATATACATGTTTAATAATCTTGATAATTTTATTAATAACCATTTCATTTTTCACACAAATTAAGTTTGCAATGATAAATGAAATTAAAATATCGTAGTCAAATAAATCTGTCTAATAAATTCATCTTAGGAGTTGAACTTATAAAAAAAAAAATTCCCGCGGAAGATTGCATACAATAATGGAATTATTTACAGTTTATATAGAAAGAAGTTATATTTGTTTTCTCAGACATTCGCATATTACTATAATATATCAATTTTGATAAGTTTTTCACACATAGCACAGCATTTAAAAAAAGATTATTTCCTGTTACACTTCGAAAACAGAGGAATAAAACATAAATAATTTATCACTTTGCTTCCTTCTGTACCTCTGTTGTCTTCGTTGCTTCCTCTTCAATGCCCTTATTGGATATCTCGTTCACATCTTGCTCACTAATATTATTCGCGGGAATTGTTTTCGACCAAGAACAACTTCGTCGATCAGGGGACTTGGGCAATGACCAGGAACTGCTGCGCGATTTCCGTCTGAGTGATATGGGTCGTGATCTCGCTCGCGTGACTTTAACGACGGAGGCGGATCTTCTGCCGCGTCTCTTCTTATAACGGGTCCTGAGGCTGCTGCGGGACTTGGAGCGACTCCTGGACCGTGATCTTCGTTTGGATCTAGAACCGCTTCGTTTTCTGGAGCTCGACTTCGATCTGCTGCGCGATCTGGAGCCACTCTTGCGCTTTGACCTGGAATTTGATCTTGTCCTTCTTCTGGAAATGGATCTACTTGCCGATTTCCGCCGACCGCGGGACCTAGAACGACTCCTGGACCGCGATGACTTGGAACGGCGCGATCGCGATCTAGAGCTCGATCTTGACCTTCTATTTTTGGAGCGTGAATCGCTTCGTCTCGCGCTACGCGATCTGGAAACGCTCCTAGATCTCGTCTTGGATCTCGATTTAGTTCGCGTCTTCGAGATAGATCTACTCCTCGATTTTCGACGTCCGTGCGTCCTCGAGTCTCGCCGCTCCGAATCTCGATCCACCAGATGTGTAAAGTACTCATAATATTGACCATTGTACAAATAGGGATTGGTCAAAGCATAAGAATTCATATCGCATCGAGGATTGTATCTTCGGCCCCTTCCCATGGGAGGGTGTAACATGGGATGATGATGGATCAATGAATAGCCTGGCATTGGCGGCCTCAACATCTGTGCTCCTGGATACCTTGGCAACGATATCCTTAGCGCATGATACGGTCCTGTCGCGATTGGCGGTAACATCGGCATCCTCGACATCGATATCGAATCAGAGTAAGAGTGTGCATAAGGAAGATTTGCGGCTGGAACAACGGCACCTGCCATTAATGATATAATATTGTCTTTCCACCTTTTATTTTACTGATGTATGCTAATATCAAATTTTATATAATCAAAATTTACCTGCAGATGAAGGTGCGCGGTCGTTCCTTATCAAGACGCTCTTGAGTTTCTTCTTGTTCGTCTCTTCATCTGTCTCCTCTTCCCCGGCCGTGCTATCCGAGCCGGAATCATCATTTCTTTTCCGTTTTTTCTGAGATTTCTTCCGCTTTTTCTGCAAACAATAGCATAAAATTACAATTCTTGAATATCATCAAATCGGTGTCAATTCTTAAATATCATCATATTGCATACAATAAAAGTCGATAATGGGAATGTAAGATAAGCAACATACCTTTTTCTTCTTTTCTTTCTTCGTTTTTTTCTTCTTGCTCTGCTTGTCTTTATTTTTCTTGTCGTTTTCTGAATCTAATTTACTAGTACTTTCGTTCACTTGATCGTTTTTATTTTCGTCTTTCTTCGTTTCCGCATTTACACTTTGATTCAACTTAATCTCATTATTTTCCACTTTTATCTACGATTACGAAACTTTCATAAATAACTCTTATTTTCTTTTTTACACAATTATTACATATTCTCCGTTACTCACCTTTATCCTATCAAACACTTCATCTAATAATCGTATACTTTCCAACTGTCGTTGAGCTTTTATCAACTTTTTTTCTTCCCTAGCAATTTTCATTGATACCTTGTCCTCTTCTTGTTTGCGAAATGTCGTGAGTACCTTCCGTTTTCGTTTTTCTTCTCGCTTTCGCTGCCGGTTTAATCTCGCTATCGAATTTGCCTCCTCCTTTTTTCTATAATCAAAATAGAAATGCAAAAATGGTTTAATATCGCATATAAAAGATAAATATAACTCTGTGTGTATGCGCGTGCGTACACGTATTTGCAAAATATCTCTTTTGTTTCAGCGCTTACTTTTGTTCTTCTCGCCGCTTCTTTTCTGCCTCTTCTTTCCTTCGAAGTTTCTCGGCCGCCAAATTGTCCTGCGCTATCAAACGCTTTCTCTCGAATTCTCGATGCGACACCGAGCTGTCGCTCATATGCTTAGTCTTGTCAAAATCAACCTGTATGAAATTATTTCATTTGCCGATAAATATTTTTTTTTTGTAATGTTGTTTCAGTTATATAATTCAAGCTATTGCAATACATGCTTACAATGTATGCTATTTTTTTATATCACATTACATTTACAATTTACAAAATTTCAGGATACATTTTATATATTAGGATTAATAGATGTGTGGTAAAAGGAATGTTGATATTACAAGACAATGCAGTTTTTACACAATACCTTTATTGTCGCGGTCAATGTGTTCTGATCGTCCTTCTGCAGTAGTTTCATGCCACGCAGGGCGTCCATCGCCCTAACAAAATCCATGTATTCGTTATATTGTATGAACGCATCGAAAAAAATGCCATCCTCGTAGCTGAACTTGTGTATGTTATTGCTGAGTCGCATCCTGGACCTGTAGGGGTCTGCGGCAGGCACATCTACTTTCCTCAGTGTACCCCACTTCTTAAAAATCTTACAGATAAGCGACTCGCTTGGAACCCTCGCACCATCCTCGACGAACCACTTAACCGGCAGACCGGTAATGTGGATAGTATCCGGCCTTTCGCCGGCCTTCAACTCGTTCATATGTTTTGCGTCTCTGAAGTAGGAATCCCAGCTGTGTCTGGTCGGGAAGTCGTCCTTTGCCTCGGCCGCGCGGACCTTAATTAATTAAATGGTCAAATATTGTAATTCTTCCGATGTGTAAGTCTACTAAAGTTGCATAATATTGCAGTTTGCGATACTTCATGTATCCCGAGGCGCATCGACGTTATACTTAATCAAATGTACGCCAAGCTGCAGGTCAAACTTAAGCTGTACTTAGCTTTCGCACCTTGAGAACGTTGGGGAAGCCGGCCAAATTCAAGCGCTGTGAATCCAGCCTGGCCAACACCTTTGGCAACCTGCAACGGTCCCGCAGGTCGCCCTCCAGCCGGATAAATTCCAGGCTGCTCTTGGCCACTTTCAGGGACGCAAACTCGTCCGGCAGGATGAGCGCGCGTATCTTCTCCATTACATCCCATGTTGATATAGTTTTGCCTGTTTATAGCGCAGTTAAGTTTCTGTAAGAAGCTATCTTTCCTATAGCTGTTACAAGTGCTCGTGGCTTCGCACAGATCACTTGGAATCATGGTATTTTCTTCCATCAGTTGAATATTACATTATTCTCCCTTTGGTAGAGATTGTCCAAAGCACAAACACAAGTATACGATTGCGATGATGTGATAAACTTGTTGCAACAAATCGAAGAGAATTAATGTCAAATTAATAAGAATAGCATTAAAACAATATTAAAAGACTTATCTGTCAAACCGATTAATTGTCAACGATCAAGTAAATACATATGTTTACAATTAATATAAATCATTTTTACAAATAAATATTAGACGTATTACATTAAAATAATTAATATTATAAAGTGGATCAACGAGAGAAGTGTTATTCCAAATTTAATTTAAAATAAAAGTACATTTATAAAATTCCAATGCTGCGCTATACAATTTTCGTTGTATCGCAGAACTGTTTCTCAGAAAAAGAAAGAAAGAGCAATAAATAGAAAGAAAGAAAAGAAAGATAGACAAGACATAAGGCTCATGGTCCAACCTCAATGGAGGAGACCACCGATGTATTTTGACGATGATGTTTTTACCTGGAGTCTTCAGTTGGGGCAGACTGACCGACACGTTAACTTTGGCAAGCGGTTTCAGATAAAGAAAGCGCGGTGGATACAACGGCACAATGTCGCTTAGATCCCTACAGCTTCCAAATCGATTAGCAACCTCGCTACTGGGTTTTTCACCTACCTGCTTATTGTCGCTCATCGTCGATTAAGAAAGAGCTATGAACTAATTAGGATGAACAAGAAGACTCGCTAAGACTCGAAATCGTTTATCTCTCAGCCGTGTTTAGGATCCTCACTTCCTCTTTTTCTTACGCTCTACTCCTCTCTTTGGTTGTTAAACTTGCGACAAGCCGGCGGGATGAGAACCCCACAGTAGGGAGGTTGCGTCGCTCGATAATCTTCGCCTGGTGAGGACGATGTCGTGCAACACGCGCCGTCCCGCCACTCGGCGAACGATCGCGGATGCATCGATCTTCGTGGAGAAGACGTTCCTCCGACCGCGGACACGAACGTGCAGTTTTCACGTTCCCCTTTTCCTGCTCTTCCTCTCGTTTGCGCGAGAAGTTTTATTCTTAACGCAAGAAGCTACGTAAACGCGACGTACTAAACGAACTCGACTCGCGTTTCGCGTTACGAAAATACCAGTTTCTTTACTTTGACAGCAATGTCGCCAAACGTTCAAGTTCGAGGGACCAGAGAGAAGCTGGAGCAGCTGGTTCTTTTGCGCATGCGTGACGGATGTCCAATAGCAGCATTGCTCTAGCTAGAATGCGTTCGAAAATCCTACCCGTTGTGACGTCCCGTCATTTTTCAAAACCATATTTCAACTAATAATTAAGTACCGCATCTATGAGCCGTATTAGCATCTTAAGACATTACTTAAGACGGTCTTGAAATAAGAACTGACTATGGGTGCGTTCCGTTTCACGCATGAACCGCATGAAACGCAGCATATCGCATGAGCGCATTGACTCGTTCCCTTTTTCCCATTACTCTTACTGCGCATAGAGAAACGGAACAGACCCATGCGCGCTTGGGCTGTTTGTAAACAGACATGGCAGATGAAATGTATGATATTTCTGCAAGCATTCTACAAGCATTGTATATAATATTTAGAGAGAATTTTCTACTTTGAAATATTTTCAGACCTCACATATTCCTAAAAGACGTCTAAAAAACGATTTAAAGATGTCTTATCGTTCTTTAAATATTTTCAAGATGTCTTTTGGCCTTTTCGTGCTGTCTGGGTATAAATGTCTTTTTAATACAATTTTTAATATTTATGGAAAGCAATGGAATTTTAAACGAAATCTCGAAATGCGTCGGTCTCGTAGATAGAAAGTGATACATGATTTATAGATGAACGCATTAACCGAATTCTTTGCAGGCTTTGTAGGGGCCGCGCCGTTGTGTCCGCCTACGTGTACATATATTTAGATTTGGAGTTTTATTCAGTATTGGCACCGACGAGATATTATTAAAGACCGTCAGCCCTGGATAAACTTTTGTGACCATCAAGTGGGCCCAGTGGGCCCGGAGGTAATTGAAGAATGTTGACATTACCGCCCGTTTGATTGGATCTAAGATAATTACATGAATTATTTAATTCATACGGTTATTTTATTTCATCCAGTTATTATTTTATTATTGAAAACACCGACGAGATATTATTAGAGACCGATGGTCTTATAGGATTTACGCGGTACTGTAGGTAAGTAAATCTTTGCATTGTCGATAATAAAACAGTAAATTTACGATAAAATGTTGATTTTGTTGTTCTTGAGGCAGTTATATAAAAGATCTATACATTTTTGATAATAAAACAATAACTGGATGAACTAAAATAACGCGTAGCGAGTTTTTTTTTCCAGTCACACTAAATCCCATAAGACCACCGGTCTTTAATGATATCTCGTCAGTGGTCTAGTTTCCACCGAAGTATTAATTCGCAT